CATGCACAGGGGAGGGGTATCAATCTCCACCCCGTGTACAGAGAAGGGATATCAATCTTCATCCCTTGCAATTCTCCATTTATTTTTTTGAAAATTAGATAAAGGATTCCTTATAAAGAATTTGCCATGATCGAGTTTGAGAAGCTTTTTCAATGTTTATCTATATATATATAAACATTCTAATAAATTCAATAATATTTCATAAACAAAAATATAATATAATTTTTACTCGTTTAAATTATAACCTGTCCTAAGGTAAAGTATTTATATTTATTTGAGTGGGGTGGGTCGGAGATTTGTCAGGGTCGAGTCTAGGGACGGGGACGAGGACGAAGACAACGAATATAAATTGTTATCCCGGGCTCCATTTAGCTAAGAAAAAAATCTCACCTCACTATCTCAGTGCATCATTTAAATGGAAATTCCCCACCCAGTAACGAGCCGGTCTCTGTAAAACTATTAAATAGGCGTCGTTTAGATTATGTTTAGAGCGGAATTAAAGAAACATTAAATTTGAAATTTTAAAATTTTAAAATGGTAAGTAAGGAAAATATCTAGGAGTTGTGGCATAAAATAAAGAGCACATGCATTGATATCACTTTTATGGGTATCTTTCTTCTTTTTGCAAAGAATAGGACCCATAAAGTAACCACCACATGGGACAAAAGGAATCCAAAATCTATTTGATTTGTTTCAATTCATGATTCACAATTCTCTACATCTTCCTATTTGAGTCTAGATTTAGAAGTTAACGACACAACTCGATGTTCAAAGCTTCAAATCTCGGATCGTGACGAACATAATTGAAACGGTGACAGATAAAATAAAAATAAAATACGATAAAATTTTACACAATTTAAAATGTAACGACCCTAGTTTTCTATTAACCTAAAGTTGCTACCATATGCATGACGTAACTTCTTATGTGGAAATATTCATTTCAAACGACTTCATAGAACGTGACCATGGACTTATGTATTTAAGAAAAGGGTTTAAAAATAGTAAAGAGTAAATATTAAAATACACGTAAGTGATGTTAGACGAACACGAGCATAAAACCAAGGAGCCAAGCCCCTCCTCGAAGGCAGTCAAAAAATGACTAAGACTCCAAAGGAGTCGAGCCTTGATTAAGGGGAGGCGCACTTTGTTCGAGGGGAGGTGTTGGATGATGGAAGTCCCACATCGACTAATTTAGGGTGTGATCATGGGTTTATAAGTGAGGAATACTAACTCCATTGGTATGAGGCCTTTTGGGGAAGCCCAAAGCAAAGCCATGAGAGCTTATGCTCAAAGTGGACAATATCATACCATTGTGGAGAGTCGTGTTCGTCTAACAAGTGAATTATAAAAATAACGATATCCTATACTAACCTAAGATCTACGAAATTAAATACAACTACTATATGCAAGTTTCATGATCTTTAATTGTCATATCGTTGTCAATTGTATAGGAGTGTCTTGCTTTTACCTAAAATATAAAAGTAGCACATGACTTTGAGTCTGTTAAGAAATAATCAGTAATTGACTCCACTGTTGTGGTCAGGGACTGCAAACACATACAATCATGATTAGAGTAAGTCTGTAGGGTTTAACTGTAGCTCGGAACTGTCGAGGAAGACTATCAATTCGGGTCGGACCCAAACCCACGGGCATAAAACCAATTTGCGCACACGGCCCAAATATGCTGACGGCACACGAAACACAGACAATGCTTAGGTGTGTTGCTCTAATCACAAGTTAGACACTGTCGAGAAGATAAGACACTGCCCAAACCCACAACCTAAACGTCTATGACTCGCAACCCATAAGAGAGACCTGAAGTCTGCGCCTCAATCCGAGAAGCAACCCACAACGCGTCATCTTCCCATGGCAACACGTGTTGCGTATGCAGATGCTGACTCTTTTGGCTTACGTGGGTCCTTTGACTCTACTTCAGGGGCGGTTCGATGATTCTGACGGCTAAAAAATGAGTTATTCAGCTCGAGTTGCATAATTTCATAGCATTCCCTACATTTCTTATCCTTCCTTCCTGAGTTGAATTTGACCTTAGTTAAGGCAATTGAGGTCCGTATAATGTCCTATTCCCAAGTTCAAGATGATTTAAGCTAGAAATGTGAGTTTTTAACGAAAACGAGATGAACGTTCTAATAGGAAACAAAATCCCGATGATACTTAGAGCAACTTCAAGAGACAGAATTCAAATGTACTCGAGTTCAGGGAGAACGCCGACTAAGGTCAACCAAGTAACTAGTCTTACTATTGATTCGGTTAAAAGTTGATGTTGTATGATACACGTACCCCGTGGTTCTGCACGTGTCATATGTTGGACATGTCTGAAATAATATGGCTATGATATGTTATGTAAATGTTATGATATGTTATGTGAATAATATGATATATGTGTTATGATACGATGTGTTTGACGATATATTTGATATGATATATGAATGATATGATATATTATGATAGGATACGTTTGACTATACGACACATACTGTGATATGCTTTATGATATAATACGTGTATGGTATGACATGATATGCTTATGATATGACCATATGTGACATGATAAAATTTTCATCATAATGCAACATGATATCTCTTACATGCATATCAACGTAATATGAGGTATCATCATATTATGTCATATCATCATCATATATCTTATGTCATCATGTCATAATGCATCATCATCTTATCGTATCATAGCATCATAGTACATCACATCATCACAACATCATAACATCAGAATGTAATATCAACTCACGCCATCATCATAATATCATATCGAATCACATCATAGTATCATCATAACACGTCATAATATCATATAAACATACATGACACGTGCAAGGGCCACTGGGCACATGTCATCATACATAAGACAAGTCTTTCGACCGAATCAATAGTAAGGTCACTTACTTTGATGGTCTTAGTCGATGTTCTATTTAATACTCGAATAGCCTTGATTTCTTGCTTCGAAGTTCATTTCTACTATTGTCGAGGTGCTTCGTCCGATTAGAACATTCACATTCATCTAATTAACTTATGTTTTTATAAATAAATAAACATATGATTTTTTTTTTATGTTTTTATATTATTGATTCAGCTGGTTAACTATAAGAAATATATATATATATATATATATATATATATATATATATATATATATATATATATATATATATATATATTATTGAGTTCATATTCTCTATCCACAATTTTAGGAGACCGTAATGTCGTGTCTCCATCTGTGACAGCTAATTTACACATGCCATCTTCCACGCAATGATGATATTTTTGAATTTCATCCCTTTTTGTTTCCATAAAAACATTTCAACCTCTTTTAATAAACCACGCCATTAGGTCGGAGTCGGAGTGTTCGTGAGTTGGTCAAGTCCGATTATGATATTTTTTTAGACCCGATTCAATATTCAAATTCAATTATTCGGAGTGTTCGTGAGTTGGAAAGGTTTCCACACTAGAAAACGTGTTTTAAAGCCTTGAGGGGAAGCTTGAAAGGGGAAGTTCAAAGAGGACAATATCGGCCAGCGGTGGACTTGGGCTGTTACATTCAACCTCAAAATAAACATAGAAGTCTCAAACAGCTAAAATTCAATCGTAACGACTCATATATCAGTATTTAGATCAGGATTAGAAATTTAGATTCAGTACCTCGTAGCCTCAAGATTTTCTTACATCCATTGCGACATAGCCACGTTATTTAATCGTCGCTTCTAAGAACGAAGATTATCCTCATAGACCAACACAAGTTATTTTAATATGTTTTATTCTCATTACCTCACGTGGTTCCTAGTAAAATTTTTCATAGGTCACCTAATATATAATTGTTCGAAACACAATAAGCTTTAATTTTGGAGTTCTTATAATTGAGCTACTGGAAAAGAAAGTGTACCGTGATAATAGGGTGTGAAAATCATTCCCTAATAGACGCATATTAAAATCATGAAGCTAACGATAGTATATAACGGGTCAAAGTAGACAATATTCGTTAGTAGGTTTGAGTTATTATAAATATAGTCCAGTCCATTTATGTACCTTTTTACTAGGGGTGTACATGGTCCGGGTTGGGTTGGGTTGGGTTGAGGGATTTTTTTGACCCAACCCAAAAGTTCGGGTTGGTTGGATTGGTAACCCAACCCAACCCAAAACTTTTCACAGCCCAACCCTCTATTTTCGGGTTGAGTTCGGGTTGGGTTGTCAAAAGTTTTATTAATCCACAATTTATAATTATTCGGATACAATCTTACATATAATATATTAAAGTTTACAAACAAACACAAATCAATCTATAGTTATTCGCAAAAAAAAAAAAAAAATCTAAATATCGTTTATATAAAAATATTTTAATTGGGCGAACAAGAAAAAATAAAAATATATATAAATTGGGTAATAAAAAGAAATATATAATAGATAGAGAACACGAGCATGAGTCTGGCTAGACCGGCCAAAGTAGGACTCTCATACATCCATTAATAAAGAAGAATTCTTAATATAGTTTATATATTTTTATTTGGATCGGGTCAACCCGAGGGTTTTGTCCCACGAACCGATTCAATTTGGGTTCAGAAAAAAATGAACTCAACCATACCGGAAATGCTAATCCAACCTAACCCAACCCTTGGGTTGGTCCAAGTTGTCGGGTTGAATGTACACCCCTATTTTTTACTTATTTTCTTATAAATTTTTTACTATCATTTAGAAGATTATGAAATTATTAAAATAAATTATATGAAAGAAAAAAAAAAAAAAAAAAAAGACAAGACTAAGAATAGAAACATTTGAAATTAAAAAGAAAAAAAAACCACAAAAATATCTAAAAAAAAAAATTGAATTATGGAACATTTATGAGCTCGTTCGTGAAAAACGAGGTAATACAATATCATATTGTTCATATGATCCATATCCTTTGAGTAAACCATAATTTTCTCTCATTTCTTCTTATTTAATTGCCCTTTTCGTTAAAATAAAACATATATTTTTCAATTCCAACAAATCTGGAGATCTTCAACCCTTTTCCTTCCCATTTTGATTTTCTTTCTGTTTGTTTCCCGAGAAAGTTATAAAGAAACCGGCAAGAATCGTAGCCCAGCTGCTTCCATGGATTCCGGTAGGTTTCAGCCGTTTGTCTCTCTCTCCGCCGCCTTGGCTCGCCCGGATTTCGCCGGAGGTTCGTAGTTCCGGTCAATGTTTCAGATTCCGGTGCTCTAGCTTCCATTTTCCTGTTCCAGTTCGTGTTCTGTTCATTTTCCCGGAAAATCAAGGTTCTTTTCTATTTTTCATTACTGTTTTTTTTTTTTTCTTTTTCTCTGAGCTATTTTGGATTTGTCGTTTATTATAACTCAACCTTGTTAGACGAACACGACTCTCCACAATAGTATGATATTGTTCACTTTGAGCATAAGCTTTCATGGCTTTGCTTTGGGTTTCCCCAAAAGGCGTCATCCTAATGGAGAGTGTATTCTTAGATTATAAACCCATGACCATACCCTAAATTAACGAACGTGGAACACTCTCATCTAACACCTCCCCTTAATCGAGGCTCGACTCCTTTGGAGTCTTAGTCATTTGACTGCCTTCGAGGAGGCTTGACTTCCTTTTTTTTCTTTTTTGGAGTCCTTTGTTCGACATTCGAGGATTTGACAATCTATTGACACGGCTAAGTTTAGGGCATGACTCTGATACCATGTTAGACGAACACGACTCTCTACAATAGTATAATATTGTCCACTTTGAGGCCTCTTGGGAAGCCCAAAGCAAAACCAAAACCACGAGAGCTTAGGCTCAAAGTGGACAATATCATACTATTGTGGAGAGTCGTGTTCGTCTAACAAACCGATTTTAAGGGTATTTTTTATAAATTTTAAGGGTATTTTTTAAACAAAAGGTTAACCATAAGAATGAAGGGTAATAATATGTTTTAAAATTATTTTTGAAAGTGTATTATTGAAATTTTTAAAAATTTAAAGATATTTTTGGTGACTAATGGTAAAGCAAAAGACATTTTTAGCCCTAATTCTTTTTATAGTTGGTGATGTTTTAAATGAGGTCAACACGATTTGGTAGAAACATTGTCGTACTTTTTGTCGTGAAAGTCATGAAAGCTTATACTCAAATTAGACGATCTCATACTATTGTGAAAGGTGAGTTGTTTTATTAGCGGAATTCGAGTCATACCCTTTTTGAATAAAGGAGTTGCAAGCCTTGAAGGAATGGTTATAATGAAGATCGCCCTTGTAATAGCCTAAGCCGGTAGTGGAAATTGTCTTCTTTGAGCTATCCTTTTCGAGCTTTCTCTAAGGTTTTTAAAACATATCTGCTAGAGAGAGGTTTCCACACCTTTATAAGCAATGTTTCGTTTTCCTCTCCAATCGATGTGGGATCTCACAATCTGTGATGTCTCACGTTGGTTAGAGTTCACACCTTTATAAGGAATGTTTCGTTTTCCTCTCCAATCGATGTGGGATCTCACAATCTGTGATGTCTCACGTTGGTTAGAGTCCACACCTTTATAAGGAATGTTTCGTTTTCCTCTCCAATCGATCTGGGATCTCACAATCTGTGATGTCTCACGTTGGTTAGAGTGGAGAACAAACCACCATTTGTAAGGGTGTGGAAACCTTCCCCTATTAGACGCGTTTTGAAGCCTTGAAAGAAAGCCCGAAAGGGAAAGCCCAAAGAGGACAATATCTGCTAGCGGTAGATTTGGGCGTTACACAATCCACCCCCTTCGAGGCTCAGTGTCCACGTTGGCACTCGTTTCACTCTCCAATCGATGTGAGATTTCACAATCCACCTCCCTTCGCGTCCTCGCTAGCACATCGCCCAGTGTCCACCCCCTTTCGAGACTCATCATTCTCGCTAGCACATCACTCGGTGTCTGCCTCTGATATCATTTGTAACAGCCCAAGCCCACCGCTAATATTATCCTCTTTGGGCTTTTCCTTCCAAACTTTCCCTCAAGATTTTTAAAATGCTTCTACTAGAGAGAGGTTTCCACACCCTTATAAGAAATGTTTCATTCCCCTCTCCAAACGATGTGGGATCTCACAACCCTTATTAGGTTAATAGAATCCTCAAGTATTGAACAAAAAGATTGTGAGTCTCGAGAGCGTAGTCCTAGTGAAAATTTGTAGTAGAGTTCTATTAGATTAGTAATGTGCTCCGAAGAAGAGGTGTCATCGAGATAGTGCTAGATGGATAGATGACCATTTAATGAGAGGCTCTATGGTCTAATTTGTTCGAGAAAACGATAGACAAGAGGTACATCGTCCCTATCAATGTATTTGGTTCAAAATTTAAAATTTGAGACAGCAAACCTTTTGAGTCAGATTCTGTCATATACTCTCCAACAGCATTCCTTTTGGTTCTGAATACATGACGTTGTACAAACAAAAACCAAACAAAATAATGAATGTTTGTTTATTTCCACTTGTATTATCCAAATCTTTTATTAGATTCTATCTGATCTGTTCCAAATTTTCATTGAATAGAACTCGGGGAAGAACGACGAGCACAAGAAACCGACCATACCTCGAAAAGGCAATGGAGCACTTGTTCATGAAGCTCAAGAAATGGAAGAACTCTGAAAATGCTTCTGCTGCTGAAGCAATGGCAAAGTCTGCAAAGAAGAAGGATTTGATCATTCGTGGCTCGGGGACTATACATATCGACGGTTCAAGCAACTTCGTCTCGAGTTTCTCGAAGCGGGGCGAGAAGGGTATCAATCAGGACTGCTGCATTGTGTGGGAGGTATGCAAATATAGCTTAAAAACATGAACTTTTGTTCATAATGATTATTGTAACAACCCAGATCCACCGCTAGCAGATATTGTCCTCTTTGGGTTTTCCCTTTCAGGCTTCCTCTCAAGGGGCTTTAAAACGCGTCTGCTAGGGGAAGGTTTCCACACCCTTATAAATGGTGTTTTGTTCTCCTCTCCAACCAATGTGGGACATTACAATCCACCCCCTTCAGGGCCCAGTGCCCTCGCTGGCACTCTTTCCTTCCTCCAATCGATGTGGGACCGACCCCAAATCCACCCCCTTTGGGGCCCAGCGTCCTTATTGGCACACCGCTTCGTGTCTACCCCTCTTTGGGGAACAGCGAAAAGGTTGGCACATCGTCCGGTGTCTGGCTCTGATACCATTTGTAACGACCCAGATCCACCGTTAGCATATATTGTCTTCTTTGGGCTTTCCCTTTCGGGCTTCCCCTCAAGGCTTTAAAACGTGTCTGCTAGGGAAAGGTTTCCACACTCTTATAAATGATGGTTTGTTTTCCTCTCCAACCAACGTAGGACATCACAGATATTGACGAATGGCTTTGATTATAGGGATTTGGATGTCAAAAGGATATGATGTTTTGTGGTGTTTTTGATGGGCATGGACCATGGGGCCATTTTGTTGCAAAGAAGGTTAGAGAATCAATGCCAATAGCTTTGCTCTACAATTGGCAAGAAGCACTTGTTCAAGCTTCTCTTCACTCACATTTGGAACTCAACTTAGCCAAAACACATCTAAAGTTCAATTTATGGGAGCATTCTTATATACAAGCTTGTGCTATGGTGGATCGAGAGCTCGAACGACACCGTAAAATCGACACGTTTCATAGTGGAACGACGGCGCTTTCCATCGTTCGACAAGTAATGTTATAGTTGTTATGTTACTCTCTTTTATATGTGTGAGATCTCACATTTGTTGGAGAGGGGAACGAAACATTTTTTATAAGGGTGTGGAAACCTCTCCCTAATAGACGCGGTTTAAAAAAAATCGTGAGGTTGATGGTGATGCGTAACGGGCCGAAGCGGACAATATCTGTTAACGGTGGGTTTGGGCTGTTACAAATTGTATCAGAGCCAGGCACTAGGCTGTGCCAGCGAGAATGGTGGCCCCCAAGGAGGGTGGATTATGAAATCCCACCTCGGTTGGAGAGGAGAATGAAGCATTCTTTATAAGAGTGTGGAAACCTCTCCCTAATAGATGAGTTTTAAAAAAACTGTGAGGCTGACGGTGATACGTAATGGGCCAAAGTGGACAATATCTGCTAAGGGTGAGCTTGGGTTGTTACAAATTGTATTAGAGTCAGACACCGGGCGATGTGCCAGCGAGGATGTTGGGCCTCCAAGGAGGGTAGATTGTGAGATCCCACATCGGTTGGACAACGAGGACGTTGGGCCTCCAAGGAGGGTAGATTGTGAGATCCCACATAGGTTGGACAACGAGGACGTGGGTCTCCAAGGACGGTAGATTGTGAGATCCCAGATAGGTTGGACAACGAGGACGTTGGGCCTCCAAGGAGGGTAGACTGTGAGATCCCACATCGGTTGGACAGCGAGGATATTAGGCCTCCAAGGAGGCTAGATTGTGAGATCCCACATCGGTTGGACAATGAGGACGTTGGACTTCCAAGGAGGGTAGATTGTGAGATCCCACATCGGTTGGACAACGAGGACGTTGGGCCTCCAAGGAGGGTAGATTGTGAGATCCCACCTCGGTTAGGGAGGGGAACAAAACATTCCTTATAAGGGTGTGGAAACCTCTCACTAACAAACCCGTTTTAAAATTATGAGGAAGACAGCGATAAGCAACGGGCCAAAGCGAACAATGTCCGCTAGATGTGGACTTGGACTGTTACCATATGATTTCTAGTGCTCATTTTCTTTATCAAGCTTTTTATATGAACTTGTGATTTATCAGGGTGATACAATTATCATTGCAAACCTCGGTGACTCCCGCGCCGTGTTGGCTACAACTTCTAACGATGGAAACTCGATGCCGACACCAATTCAGCTCACTATCGATTTCAAGCCGAATCTACCTCGTTCGTTCCTCTCTTTGTATATAAACGAGTATTGAAAAGGGAAAGCACAAAGCTCTAACATGTTTGTTATTTGTTATGCTTAGAGGAGGCCGAGAGGATAGCACAATGCAACGGGCGGGTTTTCTGCTTGCAAGATGAACCCGGGACGCACCGTATTTGGTTGCCGAACGGGGAAACGCCGGGGCTATCATTGTCGAGATCGTTCGGAGATTTTTGTGTTAAGCATTTCGGTCTCATTTCCATGCCTGATGTAACACAAAGAAGTGTAACCAACCAAGACTTGTTTGTTGTACTTGCAACAGATGGGGTAAGGCTCTTCACACTTGTTTTTCTCACCTAAATGCATGAGTGTGGTATCAAATGCTTCATCTATGTGTATCAGATATGGGACGTGGTGTCGAATCAAGAGGCGGTACAAATCGTACATTCGACCGTCGATAGAGAAAAATCAGCTCGACGTCTAGTCGATTATGCTACCGGTGCATGGAAGCGGAGGAGGCCGGGAATTGCAGCGGACGACATGTCGGTTATTGTCCTCTTTCTCCATTCTTCACCTTTGCATCATTAACCTCTTGCTCTAATGTAGCTTTACGAGCTTTAATCATACCACATGACATGGTGAACAAAACCATGTCGTAGATTCACGTTACATTGATAAGTATAAGAGCAATAATTTTTCTAGCAAGATGTAGTGAATAGACGAACCTATGCGGAAGCTAGTGGCATGTGACACTCGAGTAAAGAACGGGTATATGAATGAACCGAGACTACATTATATGTTCAGTGACTTAACCTCCTGAGAATTTTCCTAAGATGCATGTGAGTGAGAATAAAACATGTTGGAACGGCTCATGAAATAAAGAGTTTTATTCGTTTATTTATATTGAATTGATCTTCAACTTTATCTTGCTCCTAAAACTTCCCTACTTGGGTCATCGACTTTGTCTCTAGACCCATTTCTTGATCCTGGTAGCCTAACTCGAGTTTAACTCAAGACTACTCATCAGTAAACCTTTAACTTACCTTCTCTAATCGGGTTTTATCTAGTTTACCATGTCCATTGATACTACGGAGTGCAATGTACCACTTAGATATAAAGGAGTTTCTAGGGCATCTTGACTGACTAATAGTTATCTGCACTAACATAATACATCGAGCTTGTAACGACCCTAAATTTCCACATATCTAGAGTCGCCACTAACGTCTCATGCTCATCTATAAAGCGGAAATATAACTCTTACATGAACATCATTTATAACGTAAACTTCAAAAACGTTTAAAACAACTTCTTTTGTGGAAAACACAGTCATGGTCTTACGTGTTTAAATACAAAATACTAAAATTTAGAGAAAATAAAAACAAATACAAAATAATTTAAAACAATAGAATGCAAAACAACCGAATGCAAAACAACATATTCTAACTTAAAACTAAGAATTTAAATATGAGTCTACCCTATGCACGTCCACAGTCTCTGCTCGCGATGCCGTCGTCCTCTGTACAAGTGCACCTTGCCTTTATCTGAAAAATGATGTGGCACACGGCTTGAGTATTTCAAAGGATACTCAGTAAGTGGCCCCACTATAGGGGCCATGCAAATGCAAACACATGCAATCATGATTTAGGGACCTATCTCTAATCATCTTAGGGGTGGCCTCTAGTCTCGGACAAATTGGATGTGTAGTACTTCCCTACACACGACTCACACGTGCGAGTGTGAATCCCCAGGGCGCTTGCACGCTCCCTGGACCCTCTGGTCAAGCTAATCTGTAGCGACGTCCGGAGGTCAGCGGAACCCCATAGTGTCATGTGCCTCATGAACACCCTCATCTGTGTGCTTTCGCACCTGTGCGCATTCGCGCTTATCATACGGTGCGCGTCCGCACTCGTCATCTCTAAGGGAAGTAGCCCTATACTTATGAACATACAATATGCATGAGGTCCCTCTAAATCCATCATAATGTCTTTTTTAAACAACCCTCTAGTCTCATCTCTTTGTTACTCTAGGTAACACGTACTCGTGGATATTTATATTAATATCATTTTCACGCTCTTAGGGTTGTGTCCTATGTCGATCTAACAACATGATGCAATATGGCACTCATCATATAACATGCTCAATATAGAAAACATCATCATATTAAGGTAAACGTCACGCAATCATCATACTCATCATATTGCCACAAAGTGCATCAAACATATCACATTCATCAAAATATATATATATATATATATATATACTGAGCACATCGTCAAGTATCGCCAATTTATACTGGTATCACCAATATATATATACTGATTAACTTATACTGGTATCACCAATTTATCAAGTTCGGTTTTGTTCTTTGTATCCATGCCAACCTATATGAACCATGACATCAATTTCAATTTCAATTCTCTAAATTACCATGACATCAATTTCAATTTCAATTCTCTAAATTTTACAATGGTCTCTGTGTTAAACTTCATGTGAGCATTACAAACTTTATGAGTATATATATATATATATATATATATATATATATATATATATATATATATATATATATAT